CAAATTCTGATTGGCCAAACTCGGCCAGACATCATAACAACATAGTTTTATTAAAACAAGAATTACTTCCTGAGTAATTCAGTTTCTAGCTGAACCCGATTCGGTCAATTCGGGAAAGAAGCCTCTTTTGAAACCATCTCCTTTGACCTTAAGTCAAAACCTTTCTGCAACGCTGCAAGTGATTACAGACACAACAGCTCTTTTCAGAGCTATTTCAGCTAATTCAACACAGACATCCAACTTGGACCTCTAACCTGCAGACCCCGGGTTGCATCTCATGGATGGGCAAGCTGAACTCAGAGGAAGCTACTAATCTCTGAGTATTGTGGTTTTGACGTCCAGTGACCTCGCCACTCTCAACTCACACAAGTGTATCGTAGCCTGCATACTGGTGTCTGATGAGGTTTTTTTCAATAACCAACGCTCTAGTTTATAAACAAACAACTCTCCAGTTTATAAACAAACAACTCTCTAGTTTACAAACAAACAACTCTCTAATTTATAACAAACAACTCTCTAGTTTATAAACAAACAACTCTCTAGTTTATAACAAACAACTCTCTAGTTTATAAACAAACAAACAACTCTAGTTTATAAACAAACAACTCTCTAGTTTATAACAACCCACTCTCTAATTTATAACAAACAACTCTTTAATTTATAAACAAACAACTCTCTAATTTATAACAAACAACTCTAGTTTATAACAAACAACTCTCTATAAACAAAAAACTACTTTATAACAAATAACTCTCTAGTTTATAACAAACAACTCTCTAGTTTATAACAAACAACTCTCTAATTTATAACAAACAACTCTCTAGTTTATAAACAAACAACTCTCTAATTTATAACAAACAACTCTCTAGTTTATAAACAAACAAACAAACAACTCTTTATTTTATAAACAAACAACTCTCTAGTTTATAACCTACAACTCTCTAATTTATAACAAACTACTCTCTATTTTATAAACAAACAACTCTCTAGTTTATAACAAGCAACTCTCTAATTTATAACAAACAACTCTCTAATGTATAACAATCAACTCTCTAATTTATAACAAACAACTCTCTAGTTTATAAACAAACAACTCTATTTTATAAACAAACAGCTCTCTAGTTTATAACAAACAACTCTCTAGTTGATAAACAAACAATTCTCTCTAGTTTATAAACAAACAACTCTCTAGTTTATAACAAACAACTCTCTAGTTTATAACTAACAACTCTCTAGTTTATAACTGACAACTCTCTAGTTTATAACTGACAACTCTCTAGTTCAGGGGTGGGCAATTATTTTTTCCATGGGGCCACATGAGAAATAGAAAATATTGTGGAGGGCCAGGCCAAAAGGCTGAAGTCAATTATGCATAATATTAATGGTATTTCTTTATAAAAAGCAGTAAATACCATTGTTTTTTCAAGCTGGTAAGAGTAGACTATATGTTATAAATGAGCAAAAAGGAAAAAGTGAGGTTGGCTTACAAAAATGTGATTTATTCAAATTTCCCAAGGCAATGGTAAACAAAGTGCACATTTGGTTTTTGTTAAACATTTGTGACTTATATTAGTTAACAGTTTCAGTCACATTCACTCCAAAACACATTCTGAGTTTCAAATATTGTTGGAAAGAGGTTCTTAGCATTCTACAGACACACAGTATTGTCTGTAAAATAAAATCGCTGAACTGTGATCTTGAGAAAGAGGTTTAAAAAAAAATGTCCCAGTTCACTGCTAGTTGCCTTCATTTGTGGTCCTAACACCTTATTTTGTGTTTTTAAGCGATTTTTTTCTTATTCAGTGAGAGAAATCTAGTCTCTGCTGGGTTTTAACGAGTGCATCAAAGTCAGGTTGAATGTCTGAGGTGGAGATGCGAAGCACAGCTGACAAATGATCATCAGTGAGAGAGGATCTTTACCTGGATTTTGTAAACTTCATCATTGAAAATGTTTGTTCACAAATGTAGGTAGAGCCGAAGAAAACCAACATCTTCTGAGCATGTCTCCTCTGGTTTGGAAAGTTCTCCTCCTTAAGAGAAGAGTAGAAATCCAGCAGAGATCCTGAATCTCTGCTTTCAAGTCCCAAACCCTCTTCAGCACTTTCCCCAGGCTGAGCCATCTGACAGCTGTGTGGAGTCCTCCAAAAGAGCCACAAACTGTCTGTGATTCATCGCCCGCGCCCTGATGAAGTTTATTATTTTAGTAACAACATCAGTAACATGGTTGATTTTTAGCACTGACTTGCACAACACATGTTGGTGTATAATTCAATGCAAAAACACCAATTTTTGATCTGCATCGATTTCTGTCACTTTATCTTGCATGCGTTTCAAAAGTCCGACATTTTTCCCTGTAAGATTTGGACAACCGTCTGTTGTGACACCTGACAGTCTCTCCCATTTCAATCCCAGAGTGTCCGTGCACGCATTTACCTCTGTAAAAAGATCACTCCCTGTCGTTGTCCCTTTCATCGACCGCATTGCTGCCAGCTCCTCTGTGAGCTTGAAGCCCGTTATCCCCCGGACAAATAGGAGCAGCTGGGCTGTGTCCCGGACATCACAGCTCTCGTCTAATGAGAAAAAGTCAAAACTTGCCACTTCACGTTGCAGCTGAAGCTCCAGGTTCTCCGCAATGTCCTCGATCCTCCTGGTCACGGTTCGCCTGGACAGCGGGATTTGCTCAAATGCGCCTTTTTTCAGGGCATATTAGTGCGGCAGAGTCCACCATGCACTCTTTGACAAACTCTCCCTCCGAAAACGGCTTGCTGTTTTTAGCTATTTTGTGGGATATCACAAAGCTGGTCCTGGTTGCTGCATCCCTGGATGTGTGAAGCTTAGTAAAAAAGCTTTGCTGCTTTTGCAACTTTGCTAGCAAAGCTTCGGATGTCCGTGCCCTCTCAGCATCAGACAAGTTCTTGTATTTTCCGAGTGTTTCTTGTCGTAATGCTGAGTCAAATTGTAGTTCTTAAACACGGCAATCTCCTCCCCGCAAACCAAACACATGGCTTTACCTCCGACTTCAGTAAAAAAAACACTTAGCAGTCCAATTTTTGTTGAAAATCCTGCATTCGGCATCTTTCTTTCTTTCTTTTTTCTTTTTTTTTGCATGAGCGGACATTTCTGGGGGCTACAATCACCATGTCAACCGCGGGCACTTGTTGCTATACGTATTGCGTCATTGTGCACGTAAAAAACACCTTCAAAATAAAAGCAATGCAGCCTTAGCCCATGCATGAGGTAAAATGAGAAAATACATTTATTTTGTAATTTCCAATTAACCTTACGCGGGCCGGTCAAAGTCAACCAAAGGGCCGTATGTGGCCCGCGGGCCGTAAAATGCCCAGGTCTGCTCTAGTTAATAAACAAACAACTCTCTACTATAAAGAATGTGAAACTGCATAAAGCCAACATCGGAATGACAAAAAATAGAACAGTTCTTATATGTGAAGCCATATCTGTTTGTATTAATGTGGAGTTCGTCTGTATATCTCCTTAGTTGTTATCTAAATACATTCTTTGACTCAAAATATTGCTTGGTGACTTTCAATAAAGTTCTTATATTTTATTTTGCCCCATTTCATCAACATCAAGAGCTTTTGAGAGTCACCGTTTATCATTTGCTTATATTTTACATTTCCTTTAGAAATTCAAACATATTTTCTCCAAAAAGTGTTGATTTTTAGACTACAGGACTACAACTGCTAAGACAATAGCCACGTTTACATGCGCATATTTAATCGGATTGAATGCCCATTCAGATTGAAAATTCTGCATGTAAACATGTCAATCAGAATATTCTGATCCGATTCGGCCCGATCGGATTGAAATTTCAATCCGATTGAGAGAGGTGGTTTATTCCGTTCTTCATTCCGATTGACGTGCATGTGCACAGCCATTCGGATTGTTGGGGTAAAACAATGCCCACTGCGCATGTGTGCAACAGCCAGCGGGCCTCTCCGCTGTCATTTGGACTGCCTGACTTCAAAAATGACGGTGTAATTAACAAGCGGCGGCTTTTAAATCCGACAACAAGCCGTCCCGTTTCAGTAATATTTAATTCAGAACTTGCATTTTGTGGAAGTAAAATAAAAATCTGATTATTGCACAAATCATTCGACAAAGATGTTCAAATCTTTACTGGAAATACGCAGGTTTATCGTGGGGGTTGCAGCGCACGGATCCCCGTTTCTGTCAGCTTTGAACACAGCAGCTTCTGCAGCAGGTGATGGAGACACGCTTGTAAAGAACACAGGATAATCTGGGTTTTACAGACCTGATTGGAGGCTGATGTTGGGTAGGAAAACGTCCTCGGTTAAATACTCTGGACGACAGTAAAGTCCGTGTTCGTTAAAAGCACGTAAACGCAGATGACCTGAGATGCGGTTCGTTAATGATGAACACAGGCTTCTAAACTTTCTGAACATCTTCTGTTATTTTGTTTGAACAGATTTTTCTCAACAGTTTCAGCTGATCGTCACATGTTATTAATAATAAGCCACAACAGAGCTCAGTAATAAAACATGAGGCTAACCCCACCCCCCACCCCCGCTCTGTGCCGCAGCGCAGCGCAACACCTGTCAATTCAGACCTGCGGACCAGCTGATCAAGAGGCAGACATAACCCTCCCTTATTTTAATCAACAATAAAATGCAGCAAAGCATATATCTGCAGTTATTCACTGAAGAAAACGTAACTTCTATGAGCTAAATAAAAATATTAAATTGAATAAATGGATCAGGAAAGCAGGAAGAATAGTTATTTCTGTTTTTACATTTTTCTTTTCGTTTCATGGCGTTTGTTTACAATTTTTCTTTCGTGAAAGGCAACTCTGCGCATGCTCAACCTATTTAATCGGATTAAATGCTTGGTGCATATGTACGCACGGCATGATCGGATCATTTCAGTTCGTGTCCATGTGAACAGAGATTCGGAAATTCCGATCAACCAAGATTTCAATCGGATTGAGGAAATTAGGCACATGAAAACGCAGCTAGTGACCGCAAATTTGTTCTGACCAATCAAAATCATAACGTAATAACGTCACTTCCGTAAGCTTCATGTTCAGCCAATCAACTACTTTGACGTCATTGGCAGTCGAAGGACCCCGAGCCGATCCTGCACCCGAGCAGATCCTATACCGACACCGTAATGGCAGCAAAAGGAAACAAGCTAAAGCTAGCAAAAATCATGCAGGATTATTTTTGGAAACTACATCAGCTTTACCTCTATCACCAGTGTTTGTTCACAACCATTCCAGATAACGTAATTTTGTTTAGGCTACAAGCTCTCAGAACGTACATGTTAACTTTAGTTTCATGTATGTTTTAACCTACAGAAGGAACATATTCATGCTGGATGCCGCTGAGTAAACTTCTGTCTGTAACACGGAGCTTCCACTTTGGAGCTACAGATCAGTGTGGCAGCAGCAGAGGAGAACAGCGCTGTGTGTTTGTGTGTGTGTGTGTGTGTGCGTGCACGGGTGTGTGCGTGCGTGTGAGTGTGCCCGTGTGTGTGCGCATGTGCGTGCGTGTGTGTGAATGTGCGTGTGTGTGTGTGTGCGCGCGCGCGCGCATGTGTGTGCGTGTTTGTGTGTGTGTGTGTGTGTGTGTGTGTGCCTGTTCTCTGCATCGGAGCTCTTGCCCTGGCGAGCAGACAGCTGCCCAGGGGAGAAAGCAGTGTGTGTGTGTGTGTGTGTGTGTGTGTGTGTGTGTGTGTGTGTGTGTGTGTGTGGCACAAGATTATGAGGACGCACACAGCAAATGAATAAAATAATGAGGTTCAGAGTCTCCAAAAGCAACTGTGAACCATTAAACTGCACAGAGGCGCACCTGTTGGAGAACAGGAGTTCTGACAGAACAATATTCTGCTATTGGTTGACAGATGCACCGTCGCATGTGACACAATTAAGACACCAATAAGTAATTGAAAAACATAAGCCAGTCACTACAACAACAAGAGAGAGGTGCACATACACTTTATTTACTATGGCCGCCTGTCTATGGTGCTGAAAGAAAAAGATGCATCATCTGCGTTATTGGATGATTTAATTAATTATGAAAAACAAATAGTTATTATTCTTTAAAAGAAATGTCATTAACCTTATGATAAAACCTAATTTTAACAGAAGTTCAAAGTTAACGATTTGGGGCCTTTTAAGAGGAGATCCTATCAGGAAAGCTGATCTCTGGAACACACCCTTCACACATTTATAAGTCGTGGGAACGCATTAATATCTCATGGCCACGAGTTAATAACTTGTCCCCAAGCATTAAATATCCAATGGCCATGAGTAATTTTTTTCCCTAATGTCACCAGACACTAGCCTGGCCTGCCAGACTCCTCCTCTGTTAAATTCTGCACAGAGAAAGGGTGTGGGAACTCTCCTATTCAAATAGCCCTGCCCCCTGAGAACTCTAACCAAGCCAATTAGCGCAGAGTAGCGTACGTCACACATCATAACGACTTGGTGACTGAAGCGGAGTTTGCTGCGGCTCTTTCCTCTGGTCTGAATGACTCGGACACGTCTTTAAAACAACAACAAGTAGAAGCGCTAAAAGCATTTTTTCTAAATAAAGATGCTTGCTCTGTTGCCAGACGGCATTTTTTTTACTACAGCGTTGCGCGGTACAGTCGTTATTTCCATCTTTTTTCTGATTGGTTATTTTTGAGCTGCCTAGTCCCGCCCCTCAAGTGCCTCTCTGCCTGTGAGTTACCAGACTCTCTCTCTCTGCAGAATTAAACAGAGGACGAGTCTGGCAGGCCAGGCTAACCAGACGTGCTCCATAACAGCCAACTCTAATAACTTAAATCTAAATTGAAAACTTTGATGTACTCAACAGCCTTTGAATGACTGTTTCTGATACTGCACCTTCTGCACTGTAACTGCTCACCCTTTAACTTTAACTTTGTTTCTTTTTAATTTGTAAATCTCAATAGAATTTGTTTATATTTTAGTTGTGCTGTCACGCTGATTTTAATGTTCTTGCTATTCTTGCTAATTGTAAAGTACATCGAATTGCCTCTTTGTATGAAATGTGCTCTATAAATACAGCTGCCTTGCCTTGTGTGTGTGAGTGACAAAAGGTGCAGCTACATGTGCTTGTAATTTGCTACTCTCTTGCCTTGTTTGCACCTCATATCTTTCTCCTTTTCCTGTCATTTAGTTCACCCACACGGGTTCCTCCATCACCACATCAAGGCCCGGGCAGCAGCAGAAACCCCACTAAAATAGATGCTCCCAAGCACACCGTGGAGGTGGTGTGTACAAGTCCCAAAGCACTGAATAAACTGCTGCTTAGCTGAACTGTCTTTGCAGTAAGAGGGGGTTTGTTTTTCCATGTAAACCCTGGTGAAAAGCAAATGAACTATGTAAACTAAATTTGACCCTTTTCCAGGAGTTGCAGCCCCATCACCTGTCATGGTCTGGGGTGAGTCCTCCTCTCAGTCTAACCTTCTCTGAGCTTCTCCTGCAGGTGGGCGAATCAGGGAGTGGAACAGCTGCAGTCCATCTGCTCATCAGCTGGCCAGGGACATGTAAGCTGCTGGGAGACATCTTCACCTCGCTGGATGATAGCTCAACTTGGGTATCTACGTCTCCAGGCCTCTTCCGAGTACCTGTACTACTAAGTCTAGTCTCAAGCCTGAATTTCCTAGTTGTATGTTTGTTCTGAGCCTGCTTGATTTTACAACCTGCCTTCTCTCCAGACTTTCACCACCACCTTCATCACGTACCTGCAACCCATCCGGACCCGTCCCTTTGTCTACCAGCCAGTCTCCGGTCATCCACTCCTCCCTGACCACCCACCTGACCGGATCCGTCCTCGCTCGTGTGCTCAGCTCCTCCAGTCCAGCAACCTGGAACCCCAGTCTCCTGTTAACCGGCAAGTGTGTGTCTCTGATCCCCCACTCCTCCCGGACCACCCCAGACCAAGCTACTCCCCCTTGTCAAGCTCCCCCCGGACCACAATCGTAAGCCCCGACTCTCACCCCAGTATTCCTGGTCATCTACTTCCACTAACTCTCCCTCCATGTCCCTAGATATCTTCCGGAGTCCCAACTGGATTTTCCCGCTGCGCTTTTTGTTTACTTTTTTATAATAAACCTTATTTCTTCATATCCGGTCTCAGTGTATGATTCTGCATGTCGTGGGTTAGACACCTTCCCCCCAACATGACATCACCAGTAACCAGTGGCAGACTGGCCATGTTCTAGGGCTGGTGTGGCGACCCGTTGGAGATTCCCATCGATAGAGCAGGCTGCAGCAACGTCCAGCCTCCAGCCCAAGTGGGGCAGTACAGCCACTTCTAATTTTGAGTATTTCCAGTAATTTATTTGTCAATCTCCAAGATTTCAGCCACAGTCCTCCATGAGGAGCTGCATCACTGCAGTGAGGCACGCTGCACGTAGCAGAGAAGAAAATAAAAAGAGACGAGTTTTCCGGCACCACGCATGTTCCCGCTATGAGTGACAGCAGCAGCATTTACTCACCCAGTGGTTAAATGCACCGACAGGCAGGTGGTTCCATGGAGAAAATGAATAAGAAACAATCTTTTATATAGTGCCTCTCCAGATAAAAATCATGAGGCGCTTCACAAGAACAAATATTAAAAATTAAAAAAGGAAAAAAAAAGAGCTGGATAGATGACATCCAAACGGAAATGGTGAGCAAGCAGGAGAAAGCAAATGTTAAAACAAGAGGAGTGTGCTTCATTTGAAAATGGGCAACTGTGTGGTCATAAACATCCAGCTGCTGCTGATCATGCAACAGAAGAGAGGATCATTCTATCTGGATGTGAGCTGGAGATTAGATTCCCCAGCAGCCCTGATTATCATTTATTAAATATCTTGATGCATGAACCTTCACCTTTGGCTTATACTTAGTCTTTCTAATACTTTGGTTCACACTTGGTTCAATGGTATTACTGGTGTATATATGAATAAGATGTAGGAAAACATCCATACTGGCCTAATGACCTGGTCTATCATCAGCTCAGCTCAGAAGCGGCACAGCATCAGATGGTCTCATTGATGACTTTGTATCCAGAGGAAGGAGACGTGCATCTGCAGAAGGTCTCTTCCATTGTTGAAAGAAGTTGTTCATTTAATCATAATAACTACTACTGTAGGACTAAATAGCATTGGTATTGCACTGCTTTCCCCTCCTGAGGCGCCAGGGCTCTGGTCGGCTGCCTCAACAACGGAGGCACAGAACAAGGCCCATTCGGACTCAATGTCCCCTGCCTCCCCGGAATGTTTTGGAAGTTCTGTCGGAGGAGGGAACTGAAGCTCTTTGTGACATGTTTGAGCCTGCCAGGAATGACCGGCACCCTCCCCCACCATCGGAGCCAAGCACACCTTTTCGTTATATCCCTACTTTACAGAGCAATAATGTAATTCATCCTTGTCTAAGTAGGATTATTACTAGTCAAATTGAGAATACAGATAAACAGGCATTTTGTTAGTGCTAGAACTTTTATTTAAGGATATCCAACAACTACACTGATTTGAGAGATACTCAAACCCCTGAAAAAGTCTAATGTTGTCACGGTTGGAGGTGAGTGACACACCTATTACTCAGTGGCGGCTGGTGAAAAATATTTTTGGTGGGGCTGTGCTATTTTTAATTTTCAAACAAACTTGTGCTTTCTGAGCTTTGTGCACAACTTCACTATTTCCTGAATTAAGCACAGCTCTTTTATTTCCTGTCTTACATCACTGGACAAACTGATTAATCCAGGTGTGTCTGACTATTGGCATGCTTCCTTGCGGACCAAGGTTGAAAAATACTGCATTAAATTGCACATAAAATAACATGACCATAAATGGTAAATAGGCAATGCAAGAGGCAAGTAACAAAAACATTTTGTTTAATTTCAACATTTGAGTGAACACAAAAAATTATGAGCAGGTCACTGTTACAGTAATGGTAGTAAACACTACTTAGACAAAATGCCAGAAATTTACACTGTTAAATATTTCTGGAGTGTTGTGCCAAGGTCAAATTTATACAAAGATCAAGAGGATGCATTTGTGTGTGTGTGATACCTTATTTGTACAGAAATTTTGCCCTTCTGTCCTTCTGAGTTGCAAAGCTCTCGATGAGCTTTTTATTGAAGTCAGGAATGTTTGTGACAAGATTTTTTTCCAAGGAGAGCATGGCAAGAGCATTCAGCCCATCCTGTGTCATGGTGTTCCTCAGGAAAGTCTTAATCCTCTTTAAAGTAGATAAATAAAAAAACAACAGATAAGTACATAGGAAACACTTTCATTGGAAATAATGTCATCAGTATCCTCTTACAAATGTCATATTTCCCAGTTTTTGGGACAATAAAATATTTCTGATTCTCAATCAGATGTTTTTACATTTGAGGTAAAAACATCTCATTGAGAATCAGAAATGTTTTATTGTCCCAAAAGCTGGGAAATTTGTTTGCTGCAGCAGAAGTGTAACAAGTAAAATGGAATCAGATTGATGTATGTACAAATTTACATGAAATACACATTTAAGTGATTAAATATGTATAATAAGTATGCGTATTGAAATGAGTTTTTACAGTTATTGCACATTAAACAATGTACATGTTATTAAACAAATGTCCCGGTTTGTGGGACAACCAAGGATTTCTGATTCTGATTGTCTTGTTCACAGAAATGTAATGTGCAGCTTACCTCTGCACCCAGCTGCTGTTCTCCCTGTCCAAACGTCCTCCGTTTCTTCCGTTTCCCTCGTCGAGCTGCATGGCAATGTTAGCTCTGCCTAGCATGGCTAGCTTCACCGTGTTGTTGTCCATGTGTGCCCGGGATGACTCGTGTTTCTTCACCTTCTCAGAAAAATGTTTCATGTCCTTAACTCCTGACTCAATCCATGCCTTATCTGTCCCAGTCGTTTTGAATAACAAACACGGAAAGCAAAATAACGCATTAGCGTGATTGCATCCAGCTAGCCAAGCCTTCCTGGTGTACCAATTTCAGGAGAAGCCTCGTGTGTACAGTTTACCTCTCTCCTTGTCCTGCTGGCTTATCCTTACGTCGGGCTGATCTGGTCCAAGCTCTTTGACATTAAGTTTTTCCACCATAGTTCTCCTCTCGAACGGATACTGGAGAAGAGACCGAACTGAATTCAGTGGCTGCTGAGATCCGGTATCTCACTGGCGGCGTCCATGTTACATCTGCGTCACGACCAAAAACGACTCTGCCGAGTTCTACCGAACCAACGAAAGCCTTTGGCGGTAGCTCTATCGCCCATCATGCTTCTGAAACAACGTCGACGCTGATTGGATACATTCCCATTCCTACCGTTTGATTTTCTTGTCAGCAATTGGTCGGCGGGTTCCGTGCAGTTTGGGCGATTCAAAAACAGCCTACAGCCTTTCTGTCGCCTCCACCGCTCGGCAGAGAGCTTCTCATCAATATAGATATATAAATATATGATTTGTTTTTAATACAAAACACACAATTAACTTAGAAAATGTGATCATTGTTAATTTTATTTATTTATTTTTTTAAATAAAAATTAAAAACACTGGGGAAAACTGGGAGGGCGACGCCCTATCGCCCTCTACTGGCCAGCCGCCACTGCTATTACTCTTTTCGAGTGATTACAGATGGGCGGAACTGGAGAGCGGCCAGCTGTCTGCCATCAAACGTCGGGGGGGGGGGGGGGGGGGTGCACAAAAATAAACAAATCACAGTGCATTCGGTGCCAACCACAGCCTTAAGACATGTGTTGAATGTGCCCAAGTCCATACTTATGAGAGCACCATGTGAGCACCTGTGTGTGTACCTGCGCTTGTATATGTAAGGTTTCTCTACAGGAGCATCCAATAGAGAGTGTTAGGGGCCACAGATTCAACCCCAGAGATGTGTAGGATATGGAGGGAGCGCCAAGTCCCAGGGATCCAGGAGCTGCTTCAGAGCACAGGGACCCTAGGGAGACTGCGACCAGAAAATCCCCTGCCCCCCTCGAGAGGCATAGAGGATTGCCCCGGGGGGCCACAACTAGCAGCCAACAGAGTCCTGGGAGATATCAGCGGCAAGCCCGCAGCCTCCCATCCCCCAGCCGGCCGAGCCCAGGACGCAGCGACCCGGGACCCAGGGGCGACCACCCCCGCCGGGGACCCAGCAGAGCCCAGGGACCCAGATCCCACCAGGCAGCCACCGGGATTGAGAAGGCATACGCCAAAGATCTTAAACCCCCTGACCCGGGAGCCACGAACACTCAGGCAGACCAAGGCACCGCTCTCCACATAAGGTGTGGCAGGGGGAGGGGAGACGAAGATGTATAGCATCAAAAGAAGTCCCAGGAGAGGGAGAGTTAAAGGCCCCACCTGACATATACAGTAATAGACAGACACAGTCACACACTCCCTCCCTCATGCTCACAGATACACATACAACCTAAGACTTACAAAAATGCACACCGAACACCCACTCATGCTCCCCATATACACCCTATTCACTCTGGTCCCGGTACTGCTGCACAAAGGGTACAACCATCACCGGTTCCCAGAGTTCAACCCTTTCTGCTGGGGTGCTGATGAGCAGGCTTCCCCACCCAATGCTGAGCAAAGCAACCCACCACCCCAGATCCCAACCAGATGGCCAGATCCCCCTCCTAGCCTCCAGCCCTGGGAAGCCAAGCGACAACAGAGGTGTGCTAAGACCCCTGGTCTCCCTCCGCCTTCTCCAATACAGTGTTAGTGAGTGTTGAAATGGCACATTTCATGTCTGTGTTGTGCGGGCAGTGCGGGCATCGTCTGGCCTACGCCAGCTGATGCCACCACACCACCCCACTTGTACCCACAGCCCTCTGTGTCTAAGTGCAGTTTAAAATTGGAAGTAGGCTCTGACACTCGGGATGAGGCTGAAAAATCCCCTGCCAAATGCCGTTGAATGTGCTCACTCCTAAGGCCCTAAGTGTGTGTTTGCGTGGAATGTCGTTGGTGGGAGTGTTTAGGGTGCAAATAAAATTGGGGGGCAGGTTGCCACAGGAATGCAGAAATGGGGTCCATACCCGCACCGCCTGACTTGTCCCACCCCAAGGTCCTATGTGCATGTTTGTGTGATGACGTGAGAGAACAGGAGGAGAAAAATGTGTGGGGATGGGGATGTTAGAGGACGTAACAGGGGAGGAATGGCTGGTTGGCCTAAGCCTCCAGGGAGCCAGCTCCCCCCACTAGCCCCAATAGGTACCTCTGTTGCCAAAATGCCACCCAGGGCATGGAGACCCCAGCCCATCTTGCCAGGCCCCAAAGCAGCAGCATCGCAGATCCTCACGGAGTCCGAGGGCACCAACCCAGCTCCACCCCAACAGAACATCTACTCCCATCCCTGCATTTGCACAACTTCCAGAATATATAAGACATAGGACATCCAGGTAAGGTTGGGTCCTCTCCCTCCTGGACATCCCCCTCCCCTGTGATGGAACAGCAGAGGAGCCAAGGTCTACCTGAGGCCCCTGAGCCCGGGCCAGGCACTGCCGCATGTTCCTGCCTTCTTACCGGCAGCATACATGTCAGGACCGACGCCCAAGGCCCCGCCCAGATCCCTCTTCTCCCTCTCCTTGCAGAACCAACCTCCACCTATAGAACCGACCATAACCCTGGACTCTCACCTGTCTCACGTCTCCCTTGTCAAGCCTGACCACCATCTGCATCTTCCTGAACCCTGTGGATCTCCCGAGTTCACCCTGCCCCCCTCTTCTCCCGCCACTCACCTAACGACCGGACATTCCTCCCTCCCGAGTCTCGAACCTCTCTCCTACAAGGACTGGACTGAACTCTCTGATATTCACCTTGTCTTTTGATGGTGCTCCTTATTTTACCTTAGGTATAATAAATTATTGTTTACTCACCGTTACTCCTGTCTCTGAGTTGATTCTGAATGTCCTGAGTCAGGCAGCTAAACCCCCACATGACAAATGTGGGCATTTTAACATTTATTAGGCCAAATGGATATGTATTGTTGCAAGTAAATATTAATATTCCAGACATCCATAATAATATTTTTACTTTGAGCAACAAGAAAAACATGCAATATCCTAAGTGAAAGAAGCATTGTGTAGCCAAAGTCATCAACTGCTGTATTCGACCATGTCTTTCCAGACACTCCTCCCCAGCTGTGTGTTGGTTGCTCTTCTGCCTAGAGAGACCTTCCTGACCAACATGGGCACATCCAGATTTGGAATGGACTCATACTTTACTGATCTGTACCAAGGACTTGTTTTGTGGTCTAAAGGTGGGAAATTAATAAGCCCTCCATGTCACATTAAACTCCCATGACAACCCCACCAGCATGAGCAATGTTGTATAGGTACTGTAGCTTCACAAGTTGCATACTAAACATACAGTTATGATGACATAACTAGAGGCTTCAGTCTGGACCGTCGACATATATATTGGACAATTCATTTCCATAGGCTCCAATAACACGTTTTTGTGCCAAAATGGGAGGTGGCCACCACCGCCATTTTGACCATGTCACAGGTTCCGTCAAGCCCAGACAATTCCACAAAAGGGAAGAGAGGTGGAGCTGAGGGTGTGGCTGTAATCCTGGGATCAACTGATGACACCCGTTCGAACTTGCTACAAGTTAACCTGAAGCTAACCCAAAGCTAACGCGGAGGTGGGAGCTAAGCTAACAGAGGTAGCAACCTAGCTACAACCGGAGTTAACTGTGCACAACACCAGAGCTTCTGAGTCAGAGATACACCGGGCTGACCGCTGGGTAAAACCGGGTGGAACACAGAGGTCTCCCGCAAGCTACTGAAAGCCGGCAGCCCGCGCAGCAGACAGAAGCCGCGATCAGACAGACATGCGCTGAGCTGCGGGGAGGGGAGAACCACAAGCCGGCCGGCAGCCCGCACAGCAGACAGAAGCCGCGATCAGACAGACATGCGCTGAGCTGCGGGGAGGGGAGAACCACAAGCCGGCCGGCAGCCCGCACAGCAGACAGAAGCCGCGATCAGACAGAGATGCGCCGAGCTGCGCGCGGGGGGGGGGGGGTTTGTTGAACCACAGATCGGCAGCCCGCACAGCAGACAGAATCTGCAATCAGACCATCGACATAAATATACTGGACAATTCCTTTCCATAGGCTCCAATAATAAGTTTTTGTGCTAAAATGGCAGGTGGCCACCACAGCCATTTTGACAGTGTCTCAGGTTCCGTCAAGCCCAGACAATTCCAAATAAAGGGAAGAGAGGTGGAGCTGAGGGTGGGGCTGTAAGGCTGGGATCAACTGACACCCGGTGGAACTAGCTACAAGCTAACCTGAAGCTAACCCAAAGGAGGTGGGAGCCGAGCTAACGGATGTAGCCACCTAGCTACAACCGTAGCTAACTCTGTGGAACACCTATCGACTCTATGGAGTTCAGGTGGAGGTTTGCGGCGCTTTTTCATGAGAAGTACCTTTCTGTGAATAAAAAATATACATCGGTAAGTTAAAAGTTATTTCCGTAATGAAAATATATTTTGCTTTGAGCAAGTTTTCACTATTTTTAACTTACCGTATTTTCAGGACTATTCAGTTGCTCCTGAGTCGCACCAGCCATTAAATGTATAATGAAGAAGAAAAAAACATATTTAAGTCATATTTTGGGGGGAAATTTTATTTTTCTTACAAAATCTGAGACCAAGCGTTTCACATTGCAGGACAAGTACCGGTAACAATAACCGAATAATGCGCCGCAGCAGCGCACCACGGTCTCCAGCAGAGGAAGGCGGTGTTTGAAACCCTCCTAGCGGGACAGGGGAACTCATTCTTGGGTCAGAGTCGGCCCGCAGCAGCGTGGTGTAGCCTACATATTTTGTTATATAAGTCGCTCCGGAGTAGCAGGACCGGCCAGACTAAGAAAAAAAGTGTTATTTATAGTCCGGACAATACGGTAGTTATTAGTATTTGCGATAAATTAGCAGGCTAAATACATTTCATATATTTCTAAAACATAATACTTGTTTGTATCTTGTACAGCCAACTAGCCTTTATTCTGGACTCAGTACAGTTCACCAAAAGTAAAGAGACATTATACAGATGAAGTAAGCACAAGATAACTTACTGGAAGAAACAGAATTATTATGATTAAATGTTTACATAGACGATTATTAAAAATAATTCACCTTTGGTACGCCGGTAAGGCTTCGCGTCAGCCTGGACAAGTGCATTCTTGCAGACTACTAAATCAGTCTGACAGCCAATGTCTTGGGTAGATTTAGCCTGGAAAAAAAAAATAGAAGCACATTGTTGTTGGAGTTTATAAAGTCAGATAATATACAAAAGAAACTGTCCTATAAAGGCGCTTTATAACATTCCTAGTGTGTAATCGTTATTATAACGTAAAAGTCAGACACATATGATGTGGAGAGCCTGAAATGCGACCTCCTGAACAGAATTCCTTACAGAACCGGGTCATGCTGTAATGATGTCTGTCAACTAGTGCTGCGTT